AGTGACTTAGAGCATCTTTTACTCTATTGGTCATTTGGATGTCTTCTTTGGAGAAATATTTGTTCATGTCTTCTGCCCATTTTTAAAATTTTATTTTATTTTAATTTTTTATAATAAATTTATTTTTTATTGGTGTTCAATTTGCCAACATACAGAATAACACCCAGTGCTCATCCCGTCAAGTGTCCCCCTCAGTGCCCGTCACCCATTCACCCCCACGCCCCGCCCTCTTCCCCTTCCACCACCCCTAGTTTGTTTCCCAGAGTTAGGAGTCTTTATGTTCTGTCTCCCTTTCTGATATTTCCCACACATTTCTTCTCCCTTCCCTTATATTCCCTTTCACGATTATTTATATTCCCCAAATGAATGAGAACATACACTGTTTGTCCTTCTCCGATTGACTTATTTCACTCAGCATAATACCCGCCAGTTCCATCCACATTGAAGCAAATGGTGGGTATTTGTCGTTTCTAATGGCTGAGTAACATTCCATTGTATACATAAACTACAATTCTTTATCCATTCATCTTTCGATGGACACTGAGGCTCCTTCCATAGTTTGGCTATTGTGGACATTGCTGCTAGAAACATCGGGGTGCAGGTGTCCCAGCATTTCATTGCATCTGTATCTTTTGGGTAAATCCCCAACAGTGCAATTGCTGGGTCGTAGGGCAGGTCTATTTTTAACTCTTTGAGGAACCTCCACACAGTTTTCCAGAGTGGCTGCACCAGTTCACATTCCCACCAACAGTGTAAGAGGGTTCCCTTTTCTCTGCATCCTCTTCAACATTTGTGGTTTCCTGCCTTGTTAATTTTCCCCATTCTCACTGGTGTGAGGTGGTATCTCATTGTGGTTTTGATTTGTATTTCCCTGATGGCAAGTGATGCAGAGCATTTTCTCATCTGCGTGTTGGCCATGTCTATGTCTTCCTCTGTGAGATTTCTCTTCATGTCTTTTGCCCATTTCATGATTGGATTCTTTGTTTCTTTGCTGTTGAGTTTAAGAAGTTCTTTACAGATCTTGGAAACTAGCCCTTTATCTGATATGTCATTTGCAAATATCTTCTCCCATTCTGTAGGTTGTCTTTGAGTTTTGTTGACTGTATCCTTTGCTGTGCAAAAGCTTCTTATCTTGATGAAGTCCCAATAGTTCATTTTTCCTTTTGTTTCTTTTGCCTTTGTGGATGTATCTTGCAAGAAGTTACTGTGGCTGAGTTCAAAAAGGGTGTTGCCTGTGTTCTCCTCTAGGATTTTGATGGAATCTTGTCTCACATTTAGATCTTTCATCCATTTTGAGTTTATCTTTGTGTATGTTGAAAGAGAGTGGTCTAGTTTCATTCTTCTGCATGTGGATGTCCAATTTTCCCAGCACCATTTATTGAAGAGACTGTCTTTCTTCCAGTGGATAGTCTTTCCTCCTTTATCGAATATTAGTTGATCATAAAGTTGAGGGTCGACTTCTGGATTCTCTATTCTGTTCCATTGATCTATGTGTCTGTTTTTGTGCCAGTACCACACTGTCTTGATGACCACAGCTTTGTAGTACAACCTGAAATCTGGCATTGTGATGCCCCCAATTATGTTTTTTTTTTAATTCCCCTGGCTATTCGGGGTCTTTTCTGATTTCACACAAATCTTAAAATAATTTGTTCTAACTCTCTGAAGAAAGTCCATGGTATTTTGATAGGGATTGCATTAAACGTGTAAATTGCCCTGGGTAACATTGACATTTTCACAATATTAATTCTGCCAATCCATGAGCATGGAATATTTTTCCATCTCTTTGTGTCTTCCTCAATTTCTTTCAGAAGTGTTCTATAGTTTTTAGGGTATAGATCCTTTACCTCTTTGGTTGGGTTTATTCCTAGGTATCTTATGCTTTTGGGTGCAATTGTAAATGGGATTCACTCCTTAATTTCTCTTTCTTCAGTCTCATTGTTAGTGTATAGAAATGCCATTGATTTCTGGGCATTGATTTTGTATCCTGCCATGCTACCAAATTGCTGTATGAGTTCTAGCAATCTTGGGGTGGAGGCTTTGGGGTTTTCTATGTAGAGTATCATGTCATCGGCGAAGAGGGAGAGTTTGACTTCTTCTTTGCCAATTTGAATGCCTTTAATGTCTTTTTGTTGTCTGATTGCTGATCTGCCCATTTTTAATTGATTACTTCTTTTTTGTGTGTTGAGTTGTATGCATTACTTATATATCTTGTATATTATCCCCTAATTGGACGTGTCATTTACTAATATTCTCCCACTTAGTATGTTTTCCTTTAGTGCTGTTGATTGTTTTCTTTGCTGTGTGGAAGCATTTTATTTTGATGTAGTCTCAATAGTTTATTTTTGCATTTGATTCCCTTGCTTCAGGAGACATATCTAGATAACTGTTGCTATGACCAATGTCAGAGTAATTACTGCCAGTGTTTTCTCTTATAATTTTTATTGTTTCAGGTCCCACATTTAAATTCTTAATCCATTTTGCAATTATTTTGCTTATGGATTAAGAAAGTGGTCCATTGGGATGCCTGGGTGGCTCAGCAGTTGAGTGTCTGCCTTTGACTGGGCATGATCCCAGGTCAGGGGATCGAGTCCCACATCTGGCTCCCTGTGGGGAGCCTGCTTCTTCCTTTGCCGGTGTCTCTGCTTCTCTCTTTGTGTCTGTCATGAATAGATGAATAAAATCTAAGAAAAGAAAGAAAGAAAGAAAGAAAGAAAGAAAGAAAGAAAGAAAGAAAGAAAGAAAGAAAGAAAGAAAGAGAAAGTCCATTTTCATTCTTTTGCATATAGATGCCAGTTTACCGCAACACCATTTATTGAAGAGACTGGTTTTTTTTTTTTTCCATTGATAATTCATACCTCTTTTGTTGAAATCCATATAACTATGGATTTATTTCTGGGTTCTCTATTCTGTTCTATTGATCGATTTTTGTGCCAGTATTATACTGTTTTGATTACTAAAGCTTTGTAGCATAACTTGAAATCTGGAATCGTGATACCTTCAGCTTCATTTTTCTTTCTCCTGATTGCTTTGGATTTTCATGGTCATTGTGGTTCTATACAAATTCTAGGACTGTTTGTTCTAGTCCTGTGAAAAATGCTGTTGACAGGAATTGCATTAAATCTTTAGATTGTTCTGGATAGTATGTTTTAATAATATTGGTACTTTTGATACATAAGCATGGAATATCTTTCCATTTGTTTATGTCATCTTCAATTCTTTCATCGATGTTTTGTAATTTTCAGAGTACAGATCTTTCAACTCCTTGGTTAAATTTATTTCTAGGGATTTTATTATTTTTTATGGAAATGGAATTGTTTTCTTAATTTCTCCTGTTGCTTCATTATTAGTGTATAGAAATTCAACAGACCACTTTTTTTAAAAATATTTTATTTATTTATTTATAAGAGACACGCAGAGAGAGGCAGAGACATAGGCAGAGGGAGAAGTAGGCCCCCTGCGGGAGCCCAATGTGAGACTTGATCCCTTGACCTGGGATCATGCCCTGAGCCAAAGACAGATGCTCAACCACTGAGCCACCCAGGAGTCCCAAATTCAACAGATTTCTGTACACTGTTTTATCCTATGACCATACTGAATTCATTTATCAGTTCTAGTAGTATAGTCATGGTGTTTTCAGGATTTCCTCTATATAGTCATGTCATCTGTTAAGAGTGAAAGTTTTACTTCCTTTCCAATTTGGATGCCTTTTATTTCTTATTGTCTAATTTCTGTGTCTAGGATTCCCAAGACTATGTGAAGAACAGTGATAATAATGGGCATCCTTGAGTCCTTATGGGAAGCTCACAGTTCTTCACCATTGAGTATGATGTTAACTGTGAGTTTTTCATATATTGTCTTTATTATGTTGGGGTATGTTCACTCTAAACCTACTTTATTGAGGGTTTTATTTTTTATCGTGAATGGCTGTTGTACCTTGTCAAAAGTATTTTGCAAATCTATTGAAAATATCTTATGATTTTGATTATTTCTCTTGTTTATGTGATGTATTATTTTGATTGATATGCAAATATTTAACCATTCTTCCTTCCATCCTGGGAATATATCCCACTTGATTGTGGTGAATGATTTTTTAAACATATGATTGGATTCAGTTTGCCAATATTTTATTGAGGATTTTTGCATCTATGTTTATTAGAGATGTTGGCCTATAGATCTCTCTCTTTTTTTTAGATCTCTTTTTTGTAGTGTCTTTATCTGGTTTGGGTACCAGGGTAATGTTGGCCTCACAGAATTATTTAGAAGCTTTTCTTCTTTTTTTCTTATTTTTAGAATACTTTGAGAAGAATAGGTATTAACTCTTTTTAAATGTTTTGTAGAAATAATTTGTGCAGCCCTCTGGTCCTGGACTTTTTTTGGGGGGAGTTATGTGATTACTGATTCAATTTCTGAATATATCCGTTAAGTTAATCCAGTCCAGTGTGTCATTCAAAGCCATTGTTTCATTGTTTATGTTCTGTTTAGATGATCTGTCCACTGATATAAGTGGAATATTCAAAGCTCATTCATGTGTTCTATTTATTCCTGCTTCAGTTCTGGTGGGTTACATGGTTCTAGGAATTTATCTATTTCTTCTAGGTTGCCCAATTTGTATATAATTTTTTATAATAATATTTTCAATTTTTTGCACTTCTGTGGTGTTAGTTGCTATTTCTCCTTTTTCATTAGTAATTTTATTTATTTTGATCCTGTCTCTTTTTTTTTAATGAGTCTTACTAGATGTTTACCAATTTTGTTGATCTTTCAAAGAATCAGCTCCTGGTTTCATTGATCTGTTCTATTGTTTTTCAGTTTCTATATCATTTATTTTCACTCTAATCTTTATTATTTACTGCCTTTTCCTGGGTTTTCATTTTGTGTGTTCTTTTTCTATCTCCTTCAGGTGTAAGGTTAGGTTATTTATTTGAGACTTTTCTTGCTTCTTGAGACAGGCCTATGTTACTATATAAAATTCTCTCTTAGAACCACTTTTGCTGCATCCCAAAGATTTTGGACCATTGTGCTTTCACTTTCATGTCATCCTTGCACAGATGCCATGCTAATCTTCTCTGTATCATTCCAATTGTTGTGTATGTGCTACTAAACAGAACTATATTCATTTTCATTTATTTCCATGTACTTTTGATTTCTTGGTTGACCTATTTATTGTTGGGAGCATGTTATTTAACCTCCATGTATTTGTGCTCTTTCCAGATTTTTTCTTGTGGTTGATTTCTAGTTTCATAGTGTTATCATCAGAAAAGATGCATGATATGACTTTGATATTTGGGGATTTGTTAAGACATGCTTTGTGGTGTAATATGTGATATATTCTGAAGAATATTTCATGTGTGCTTGAAAAGAATGTGTATTATGCTGTTTTAGGATGGAATGTTCTGAATATGTCTGTAAAATCCTTCTGGTCCAATGTGTCATTCAAATCCAATGTTTCCTTGTTGATTTTCTGTTTAGATAAACTGTCTGTAGATGTAAGTATGGTGTTAAAGTCCCCTCCTATTATTGTATTATTGATTAGTTCCCTAAGTGTGTTATTAATGGTTTTATGTATTTGGGTGCTCCCATGTTTGGTGCATCAATATTTACATTGTTATAACTTCTTATTGGAATGTTTATTTTGATTGATTATATGGTGTTTTTCTTGATCTCTTGTTAGTCTTTGCTGTAGCATCTATTTTGTCCAATGTGAAGTATTGCTACCTGAGCTTTCTTTTCCCAACCATTTGCATGATAAATCCTTTTCCATCCCCTCACTTTCAATCTGCATGTATCTTTAGGTCTAAAATTAGTCTCTTATAGGCAACATATGGATGGTTCTTTATTTTTCCATCCATTCTGTCACCCTATGTATTTTGATTGAAACATTTAGTCAATTTACATCCAAAGAAATTGATAGGTGTGTACTTATTTCCATTTAATTACTTGTTATATGTTTTTTTTAGGTCTCCTATGTTCCTTTATTCTCCTGTTCTCATCTCTCACGGTTAGCTTGCTTTACTTGTGATATACTTTGATTCCTTTCTCTTTATTTTTTCCATATCTAATGCTGGTTTTTTTAAAGGTTTTATTTATTTATCCATGAGAGACAGAGGGGGAGAGAGAGAGAGAGACAGAGAGAGAGGCAGAGACACAGGCAGAGGGAGAAGCAGGCTCCATGCAGGGAGCCTGATGTGGCACTCGATCCCAGGTCCTGAGGATCACGCCATGGACTGAAGGCAGCGCCAAACCACTGAGCCACCAGGTTGCCCTAATGCTGGTTTTTGAAAACTGGTTATCATTCTGTTTATATATAATATCTTCTACATATAGCAGTCTATATTAAGTTGGTGGTTGCCTAGGTTTGAACTCATTCTTTACTCCGCCTTCCCAACATTTTAGGTATATGGTGTTATATCTTGTATCCTTTTATTTTGGGAGTCCTTTTATTTCTTTAGATATGCTTTTGTGATTCCTACTTTTCCTACTCCTACTTATGGTCCTTCTTTTCCACTCAAAGAGTATTTAACATTTTTTACAGGGCTGGGGAAGTGGTCATAAATTCCTTTAACTTTTGTTAGTCTGGGAAACCCTATTTCTCCTATTCTGAGTGGTTCCCTTTCTGGATAGTGTTCTTGGCATCAGATTTTTCCCTTTCAGTGCTTTGAATATATCATGCCACATTCTTCTGACCTACAAAGTTTCTGCTGGAAAATCTGCTGATAGGCTTTTGGAGGTTCCCTTGTATGTAAACATTTTCAGTTTTCCTTCTACTTTTAAAATTCCCTATCACTACTTTTTGTCATTCTAATAATTATGTGTTTGGTGTGAACCTCCTTTTGTTGACTTTGTTGGGGGTTCCCCCCCTTGATCTGGATATCTCTTTCCTTCTCCCAGATTTGGAACATTTTCTTCTATTATTTCCTCAAATAACTTTTCTGCCCTCTTTTCTCTCTCTTCTCCTTCTAGGATCCCTATAATGCAAATATGATTACACTTGATATTGACCTTGAGTTCCCTAAGTCTATTTTCATTTTGTGTTATTATATTTTCTCTCACCAGCTCAGAGTGCTTCCTTTCCAGTATTGTGTTCTCCATGTGGCTGTTTCATTCATCTGCTTTCTCTAGCCTACTATTTATTTAATGTAGTATATTTCTAATTTCACTTATTTTGTTCTTAGTATCTGATTGGTTCTCTTTGATCTCATTGTTAAGGGTCTCACTGATGTCCTCCGCTTTTCTCAAATCCACTATCTTTATGATCATTGCTTTAATTTCTCTATCAGGCATATTACGTATCTCCGTTTCACTTAGGTCTCTTGCTGTGGTTTTGTACTGTTCTTTCATTTGTGAATACTCCTCTTTCTCCTCACTTTGTCTAGCTCTCTGTGTTTGTTTCTAAGTATTAGGAAAATCAGCTACATCCTCTGAACTTGAAAGTAATTGCGTTATGAGTAACAGGTCCTGTGGTTCCTTGTAGCACAACGTTCTCTGTTCACCAGAACATTATGTTTAAGGTGTGTCTTCTCTGTGTGTTGTGTACACCCTACTATTGTGTCTGAGCTGCATTTGATTTTAGTCCAGCCAACTCAAATGTCCCTCTTTGCCTGTTGTGGGCACAATGGGAAGAGTTTGGTTTCTGCGCTATTAAGGGGCCAGTCTGGAGTTGCTGTGGGGTTATAGTTGGTCAGTGCCAGGAATTAGATCACATGCCTGTCCTTAGCCCATCTGCCAGGACTGCAGATGCATCAAACTTCAGATCTTTCTCCCTGTGCTGTACATGAGAGTTTTTTGTTGATCAGTAGGATGACACTCAGATCAGATTCCTGCCCCCCAGATCATCTACTGGGGCTGCAGTTGCACTGATCAGAGGGCACTCTGTCTGCACTGACAGTTATAAGGTTTGGCTGCAGGCACTGGAGTTGCACTGGTATATATAGTTATCTTTCCCTATCTTCAGGGCAGGAGTGGTGGCAGTCTGTGCTGATGCTGATTGAAAGGTGTGTTATGGCAAGAGCTGCTTTGGAGGCATGCCTGCCAGGTAGGGCTGTATGATGGGGCATGTCTGCAAAAGAATGTGGGGGTAGGGTGTGCAGTGTTAGGAAAATAGGTGGAGAGTGTTTAGGTTGGTTCCTATAAGTGTCTGGCTATCAAAGCATGGGAGGAGTGAGAAATGGCATAGGTCAGCTGTTTTTTTCTTGGAGAAGTCTCCTAAAGATCCCTTCCCCCTCAAATCAAGTTCTGAGATAAATAATTTAATCTCCTCATATACTCGAGGCACTTTTTAAACTGCTGCTTCTGTGCTGTATCCTCGTGGTTTATTTGCTGTGCTGGCTCTTTAAGAGCAGGGGCTTGTTTTCCTATTGCCCCCTGGTTCTTCTGGAGCTAAGGTGACTGATTTTTAAAGTACTTGGAGTTAATCCCTGTTGATTGTAAAAACTCACAAAGTTAAGGCCCATATTTTGGTTTTCAAAGTCAAATATCATGGAGATTCATTTTACCAGTGCAAGTCCCCCATGCCTGGGGTGCCTGGTGTGGGGACTGATCTCACTTCTCTTTGCTTGTGGTGTCCTTTCCATTGTGGTTATTTGCTGTGCTGGCTCTTTAAGAGCAGGGGCTTGTTGCTAACCATGTCTCTGCCCCTCCTACTCTTTTCAATGTGGTCTCTTCTTTAGGATTAACTGTGGAAAGTCTTCGTGTTGTTTTCTGACTTGCACTGATGTGTCTGTTATCTTTGTGTATTCATAGGATGAGGTGAATTTAGGATTCTTGTACTCTGCCAACCTAGAATTTCTTACCTAATGGAGCTAGAAGGCTAAATTAGCACTTGATCTTGTGAATTATTAAATTACAGAATAATATTTAGTTCCCAGCATTGACAGGTCATATTTGTCAGTTAGTCACTGAAATAAAAATAATAAGAACTTAAGAATAGGTAAATTGAGATAACTAAAAAATATCTCAGGTTCAAAATACCCATTCAGCTCCCCTTGACTACAGAAACATTCCTTCTCTTTGTTCAATGTGGCTCCCTTTTGTGTAAATACACAGTACTTTCTTCATAAAATTTCAATTGTGAGAAGGAGCCCATTTTTCTACTGCCACCACCCCACACTCATTAATGTCTCCAGACTTACAACTAGACTAAGACACCAGCATTTACCCCAAAACTAGGATATAGGATCAAATATCAACTCAAAAGTAGAAGAAAAATGTTTATGCATTAAAAGATTTGTGAAACTAGGGGCACCTGGGTGGCTCAGTAGGCTGAGCATCTGACTCTTGATTTCAACTTAAGTCATGATCTCACAGTTGTCGGATCAAGCCTCACCTTGGGCTCTGCACTGGACATGGAGCCTCCTTGGGATTCTCTTTCTCCCTATCCCTCTGCCACTCTCCTCCACCTTGCATGTGTACACATTCTGTCTTAAAAAACAACTCTGAAACTGTAGAATTTTGAATTGTGAAATTTCCAAAGTAAAATTCTGAGCAAGTTGTGTGAAAATGGATTGTTATGGTGTTCATCCAAAGAGGGAGAAACTTAATTTTAGAACTGATTGAATTTATTGATATGGTTACACTTCCTAGAGATTCTATATTCAATGTGCTAGCCTCAGCAGCTTTACACAAGATTAAATTATTGTTTTAAATATAAGTTTCAAAAAAGATCTTATACATTCATAGTCAATCAATCACTTCATCTTAGTGAGAATGTATTTCCAGAAAGCAGAACGAAACAGCAGTTAGGAATGGAGGAAGTGGAATACAGGGCCTGTGGAGACTTTGGGTAGGGGGAGAGAATCAAGACCAGTAGATGAAAGAGAAGAGAATTAATAGCTGCTGAATCCTGGTTATATGCCAGGCACTATAGAGAAGCTTTCAGACAGCACCTCTACATTTCACTTGATACCAGTGATATCTATACGATAACCACATGATGTGGGGATTGGTATCATTTCACTATAGAAGTGAAGAAACTAGGTTCTAGGACATTAAGAAACTTGCCACAAATTACATTACTACATAGGAAGGACATGATAGGATAGAACTCCAGAGCACAAAATGGGTGAGTCTGCAAGGAGAGGGCTGCCCTTCTTATGTGCCAGAAACAGATCCT